TGGTGTGACTCGGGCGCCACTCCTCTGTGGTGTGACTCGGGCGCCACTCCTCTGTGGTGTGACTCGGGCGCCACTCCTCTGTGGTGTGACTCCGGCGCCACTCCTCTGTGGTGTGACTCGGGCGCCACTCCTCTGTGGTGTGACTCGGGCGCCACTCCTCTGTGGTGTGACTCGGGCGCCACTCCTCTGTGGTGTGACTCCGGCGCCACTCCTCTGTGGTGTGACTCGGCCGCCACTCCTCTGTGGTGTGACTCGGGCGCCACTCCTCTGTGGTGTGACTGGGGCGCCACTCCTCTGTGGTGTGACTCGGCCGCCACTCCTCTGTGGTGTGACTCGGGCGCCACTCCTCTGTGGTGTGACTCGGGCGCCACTCCTCTGTGGTGTGACTCGGCCGCCACTCCTCTGTGGTGTGACTCGGGCGCCACTCCTCTGTGGCGTGACTCGGGCTCCACTCCTCTGTGGCGTGACTCGGGCGGCACTCCTCTGTGGTGTGACTCGGGCGCCACTCCTCTGTGGCGTGACTCGGGCTCCACTCCTCAGTGGCGTGACTCGGGCGCCACTCCTCTGTGGTGTGACTCGGGCGCCACTCCTCTGTGGTGTGACTCAGCCGCCACTCCTCTGTGGTGTGACTCGGGCGCCACTCCTCTTAGGTGTGACTCGAGCGCCACTCCTCTGTGGTGTGACTCGGGCGCCACTCCTCTGTGATGTGACTCGGCCGCCACCCCTCTGTGGTGTGACTCGGGCGCCACTCCTCTGTGGTGTGACTCGGGCGCCACTCCTCTGTGGTGTGACTCGGCCGCCACTCCTCTGTGGTGTGACTCGGGCGCCACTCCTCTGTGGTGTGACTCGGGCGCCACTCCTCTGTGGTGTGAATCGGCCGCCACTCCTCTGTGGTGTGACTCGGGCGCCACTCCTCTGTGGTGTGACTCCGGCGCCACTCCTCTGTGGTGTGACTCGGGCGCCACTCCTCTGTGGTGTGAATCGGGCGCCACTCCTCTGTGGTGTGACTCGGGCGCCACTCCTCTGTGGTGTGACTCGGGCGCCACTCCTCTGTGGTGTGACTCGGGCGCCACTCCTCTGTGGTGTGACTCGGGCGCCACTCCTCAGTGGTGTGACTGGGGCGCCACTCCTCTGTGGTGTGACTCGGCCGCCACTCCTCTGTCGTGTGACTTGGGCGCCACTCCTCTGTGGTGTGACTCGGGCGCCACTCCTCTGTGGTGTGACTCGGGGGCCACTCCTCTGTGGTGTGACTCGGGCGCCACTCCTCTGTGGTGTGACTCGGGCGCCACTCCTCTGTTGTGTGACTCGGGCGCCACTCCTCTGTGGTGTGACTGGGGCGCCACTCCTCTGTGGTGTGACTCGGCCGCCACTCCTCTGTCGTGTGACTTGGGCGCCACTCCTCTGTGGTGTGACTCGGGCGCCACTCCTCTGTGGTGTGACTCGGGCGCCACTCCTCTGTGGTGTGACTCGGGCGCCACTCCTCTGTGGTGTGACTCGGGCGCCACTCCTCTGTGGTGTGACTCGGGCGCCACTCCTCTGTGGTGTGACTCGGCCGCCACTCCTCTGTGGTGTGACTCGGGCGCCACTCCTCTGTGGTGTGACTCGGGCGCCACTCCTCTGTGGTGTGACTCGGCCGCCACTCCTCTGTGGTGTGACTCGAGCGCCACTCCTCTGTGGTGTGACTCGGGCGCCACTCCTCTGTGGTGTGACTCGGCCGCCACTCCTGTGTGGTGTGACTCGGGCGCCACTCCTCTGTGGTGTGACTCGAGCGCCACTCCTCTGTGGTGTGACTCGGCCGCCACTCCTCTGTGGTGTGACTCGGCCGCCACCCCTCTGTGGTGTGACTCGGGCGCCACTCCTCTGTGGTGTGACTCGGGCGCCACTCCTCTGTGGTGTGACTCGGGCGCCACTCCTCTGTGGTGTGACTCGGACGCCACTCCTCTGTGGTGTGACTCGGGCGCCACTCCTCTGTGGTGTGACTCGAGCGCCACTCCTCTGTGGTGTGACTCGGCCGCCACTCCTCTGTGGTGTGACTCGGGCGCCACTCCTCTGAGGTGTGACTCCGGCGCCACTCCTCTGTGGTGTGACTCGGCCGCCACTCCTCTGTGGTGTGACTCGGGCGCCACTCCTCTGTGGTGTGACTCGGGCGCCACTCCTCTGGTGTGACTCGGGCGCCACTCCTCTGTGGTGTGACTCGGGCGCCACTCCTCTGTGGTGTGACTCGGGCGCCACTCCTCTGTGGTGTGACTCCGGCGCCACTCCTCTGTGGTGTGACTCGGGCGCCACTCCTCTGTGGTGTGACTCGGGCGCCACTCCTCTGTGGTGTGACTCGGCCGCCACTCCTCTGTGGTGTGACTCGGGCGCCACTCCTCTGTGGTGTGACTCGGGCGCCACTCCTCTGTGGTGTGACTCGGGCGCCACTCCTCTGTGGTGTGACTCGGGCGCCACTCCTCTGTGGTGTGACTCGGGCGCCACTCCTCTGTGGTGTGACTCCGGCGCCACTCCTCTGTGGTGTGACTCGGGCGCCACTCCTCGGTGGTGTGACTCGGGCGCCACTCCTCTGTGGTGTGACTCGGGCGCCACTCCTCTGTGGTGTGACTCGGGCGCCACTCCTCTGTGGTGTGACTCGGGCGCCACTCCTCTGTGGTGTGACTCGGGCGCCACTCCTCTGTGGTGTGACTCGGGCGCCACCAGGCCTGTCGAAGTCCCTGGGGCTCGAACTTGCGCTCCCCAGCTCCTCCCAATCTGACCCTTGGTTGGGGGTAGGTGATTGATTTGGCGCCCTTAAGGGTCACGGGCACACCCCAAAGTCAGAACTTGAAATCAGGGCATGTCTGAAGTTTGCCCTTACACTTCTTTACACTATGACAAGTGCAGTTATCTACTTAAATTAGAAGTCAAAGACACCTGACACTACACATGGCTTAAATAGTCACAAAACCTACCTAGCCTGCAATGTTCTTATTCTCTACACTAACTACAGATATGGCGTGCAAAGCTCAGCTACTCTACTCTAACCCGACATGCATTGCGAGCCTATTTGGCAGGCTTCCTCCCCTTCCTCCCCTTCGCCTCAAAAATGGGATAGGCCTCCGCCCAGTACACTGGGTAGTCCAGCATTTTCACCGTCATCAGCTCCCCCAGCCTCACATCTGTAAGAGCTACACGGTCCCACGACTTAATTATGTTTTGCCTAGAGAAGCCCCTCCCGCACTCAACAGTGCTGAGGGGCAACACAGAAACTGCACGCCAGAGAGAGACGATGGTGGGGTAGTCGTCTCTCCAGTCTGCCGTGCGCAGCATGTTGGTGAGAGCCTGATGAAAGCTCTGCTTCTTGAACTTTTTTTCCATGGTTGCGGTGAAGAGGCGCATCTGCGGCTCAATGTCAGCAATATCGACTCCTGCCAAAATCAGGATGCAAGGTTAGAACAAATATAGTTGGCGCTGAAGAATGGTTTGCTAGTATACGCTTGGAACTTACCAGGGAGCTGATTCTTGAACATGTCAAGGAGCTCTGACAGATGGAATTTCAGCCATGCGTCCTGCTCTCCTGCACGTACGGGATAACGATCAGGGCTGAAAAAGCCCACACCATCAAAATGGCGCAGGTCTGCCATCCTTTTCCCCAGTGCCTTGATCAGGCGCTGAGCGAACCGCCTGGCCAGGTCCACGCAGGAATCCAAGTCGCATCCCCCACCGTCACTGTCACCTTCTCCGTCACCGTCACCGTCACCGTCACCGTCACCTTCTCCGTCACCGTCACCGCCACCGCCACCGCCACCGCGGACGACGATGGCGTCCTCGTGAAGCTCGACAGTGGCAGTCGCGGGACGGCCGCTCTCATCCATTCCCTTGAGCTCCAGCTTGCGCCATGGGTGGAGGAGGAGAGGTACCATGGGCCAGGGCCATGGCACGAACGAAGGTGGAGAGAGCTCTTTGGGTGGTGGTGGTGATTGGATGGTTGAGAGGAAACATGGCACGAGGGTGGAGTGGAGAGAGACGTTGCTTGGCTAACTTGCTACGCTGGAGTGCCTCTATTGCTTTGACGTGCATGGTGTTAGTGTGTTGGAGTTGGATTGGCTGGAGTTCTTTGTGGCCAATCAACTTAGCCAAATTCAGGCACGCTAATCCTATGTGTCCTCCCAGCTGTAACATGCGGCCAGCTAGTATTGGCTTGGACGCTAAGGGAAAGTTCGAGTGCTCCATGTGTGTCTCAGCCACTTTACAGATACGGACGGGATTGGCTCGAAAACGCTAAGGGAAAAATCCCGTTGGCGCGCTCTCGGGGGGTGGGGGGGGGGGGGGGGGGGGGGGGGGGGGGGGTGGGGGTGGGAAGGCAGAATTCGGGGGGGGGGGCCTACAACCGGAAACCAAAACTTAGTGGGTGGGGAAGGCCTGATTGGAGAACTTAACGCGTCCGGGGAAGGGTCTGACGAGGCACTTAGTGGCACGGGTGCAATGCGATCCTAACACTTTATGCAGTCGAGCTGGAGCGAAAGTAACCCGGAATTTCAGGGCATTAAGGGCATATGCCCGTCAATCGACAGGCCTGGGCGCCACTCCTCTGTGGTGTGACTCGGGCGCCACTCCTCTGCGGTGTGACTCGGGCGCCACTCCTCTGTGGTGTGACTCGGGCGCCACTCCTCTGTGGCGCCTCCAAACTAAGAGGTGCCTCTCCTCTATGAGGCGCCTCTCCTCTATGCGGCGCCTCTCCTCTAAGGGACACCGCTTGCATGCATCCCCTTGCATGCAACCCCTGCATGCAACTCCCCTCACGTAATCCACTTTTTTAGTTCGTTCCCCTGTAACATTTTCTGTGCTAGTTTCCTCACCTGTCTCAACCTAGTCTTCCGTTTGTTATGCTCGCTTTTGCCAAACCTCCCTGTCTGTCGTTTGTTTGTTAGGCTCTAGCTCAGGACCAGCTGCGAGCACTGCATGCGTTGGTGGGTTGGGATGGGGGAGAAAACGGAGCAGATGATATGGGCGAGGGAAGTGGAACAATGCTGGGGGCTGGCAATATGACAGATGCTGACGTGGCAGGGAGTGTGGGAGCTGACGTGGCAGGGGAGAGGCAGGAAATTGATGTGTGTGGGGAGAGGGAGAGGAGTGCGGCGGGGCGTGTGGCAGTAGAAGCGCAGTTGAGAAGCCTGGGAGAGGAGATGGCGATCTATGATGGTGACACACCCCATGCTGCTCGCCGGGCCATCCGAGGGCAGTCCCGCCTGGTGAGCCAATGTGTGTTGTGTGTGGGGCATGGCGCATGGTGCATGGTGCATGGTGCATGGTGCATGGTGCATGCCTGCTATGCTGTGTAGTTTTGAGGTTTTGCCTGCCTCATTGTGCTTTCTCCTTCCCCAGCCGCTTCTGTTGTGCTCCTGGCATCCTCACCTTAGTTCACACACCCTACACCGCCTGCTGCACTCTGCTTCACAGATCCTTATCTCACGCGTATCAAATGCAGATCTTATCGAATCCCGACATGCTGCATGTCACCATGCTGCCTGGCCACCGGGACTTCATTCGTTTCCTCTCCAACCTGCGGTAAGCTCTTGGCCTTTCGATGTGACAAACACCTTTGCCTTCCCCTTTACTTACTTCAGTCTCATCCTGTTTCACAGCATGAATTTCCTTCGTACCTGCTGTTGCCCACATGTTTCGATTAGACGCATTCGACCTTTCCACCCCTTGACCCGTTTTCTCCATTGCGCGCTCTCCACACTGTTCTCCACATCTCTCCCAGCTTCGTGGTGGCGGACAAAGCTCATGCATACAGGGGCGCATTTGGACTCACTCTGTCTTCGTTCCACCCACCCCTTGCGTGTCCCCCCTTTCCCTCTCTTTCATGCTGCCCAGCTTCGTGGTGGTGGACGAGGCGCATGCATACAGGGGCGCGTTTGGCTGCCATGCGGCTCTCATCTTCAGACGCTTGCGCCGCCTGTGTGCTCATGGTGGGTGGGTGTACTGATGGGTGAAAGGGATGGGCAGTCAGCTGTGTGCTCAGCTCACAATGTGTGGATGGGTGGGTGAGTGGGTGTGTGGGTAGGTGGGTGGCACATGCGTACAGGGGCGCGTTTGGCTGCCATGCTGCTCTAATCTTCAGACGCATGCGCCGCCTGTGTGCTCATGGTGGGTGGGTGGGATCGGCAGTTGGCTGTGCGTTCACGGTTGTCGGGAAATTCGTGCTGTGGTAACATTGATGCAATGCATGGGCTCTGCATAATGTGTGCATGACTTTTGCAGTTTGGTATGCGTTGCTTCAGCCTGGCATGATACAGCTGGCATGCCGTTGCATCATTTCCACTCCTGAAAACCTCCCCTTCCCCCTTCCCTTGGCCCCCTCCTTGATCCACCACCATCCCCTTTCCTCCATCCTCCCAAACCAGTCTACGGCTCAGATCCGATCTTCATAGTGTGCTCTGCCACGTGTGCGGATCCCAAGGACCATGTGCGATCCCTGCTGGGTGTGGACGAGGTGACAGTGGTGGATGGCAGTGACGATGGCAGCCCCTGTGGTCGCAAGAGCTTTGTGCTCTGGAACCCGCCCATCACCTTGCCGCCTGTGAGCAACCCCCTCTTGACCCCCACCCCAAGGATCTCAGGTAGTACCGTAATAGGGACCGCACCCCCTCTTCACCCCGCCTCTGCGGCGCGGCTCAAGGAGGCACATGCCGCAGGTGCGTTGGGACTGCAGGTGCGTTGGTTGGGACTGCAGGTGCCTTGGGACTGCAGGTGCGGTGGGACTGCAGGTGCGGTGGGACTGCAGGTGCGGTGGGACTGCAGGTGCGGTGGGACTGCAGGTGCGGTGGGACTGCAGGTGCGGTGGGACTACACAATCCCTCTCAACCGACGCAATCTTACACTCTCTTTTTTGATCCTGACACTCCCTCCCAGGCTGCCAGGCCTCTGCGCCGCAGCTCTCGAAGGCAGACGCCGCAGCTGCTGCAACCAGCTGCTGCATGCACACACGTGATGATGGCCAAGCGAGCCAGGTGAGGCCAAGCGAGCCAGGTGAGGCCAAACGAGCCAGGTGAGGCCAAACGAGCCAGGTGAGGCCAAGCAAGCCAGGTGAGGCCAAACGAGCCAGGTGAGGCCAGGGGGATGCGCCACATGAATTCCACTAATGTTGATTTGTAAGGCCACGTGACTAGCTAAGCTGTATTGCCTCTTGTTGCTCGCAAATTGTGCATGGTGCCACGTGCCCAGTCTGGCACGGCAAGGAATACGGATTCTGGGAGAGCTTCGAGGGGGGCGGAAAGCATGAGAGGAGCTGCGGGTTGCTTGCAGCAAGCACATCGTGTCCTCCTGCCGCCTTGCTCCACTTGCCACTCCATCCTCTTCCCAGGCCAGCCCCATAGTGGAGGTGGCGCTACTGTTGGCAGAGGTGGTGGTACAGCACAACACTCGGTGCTCTGCTCCTCTCCATAACCTCTTCTTCCTCTCCTCGCCCACTCTCACGATCCTTCGCTTCCCTTCCCTTCCATCGTTTCCCCATCCCTTCACCAGCCCCATAGTGGAGGTGTCGCTACTACTAGCTGAGATGGTGCAGCACGACTTACGCTGCCTGGCCTTCTGCAAGACAAGGAAGCTGTCAGAGCTCGTCCTCACATACACGTGAGATTCTCCTCCCGTTTGCCCATACTATGCTAAACTTCGGAGTTCTCGAAAGCGACTGTTGTATAGCTGTCTAAACTCCTTGCGGAGATAACTGCAGCAACGGGAGCTAGGCTACGGGCTAGGCACGTGTGCTCGTGTGATCTCTGCGTTCGTTCACTTAGTCGTTTCCTTGTGTTCACGCTCCTTGCTAGTTCACGGGGAGAATTTGCAAGAGTTTCACTAGGAAAACATGACAACAATGATACAATGAAGTTGGCATAGCAAGACTACATCAGAGCAAGCATTCAGGTCGGCCAACTGCCAGCGCAGCTTGGTCGACCGCGTTCCAGCACGACTTGGTCGACCGCGCTCCAGCAAGGCAAGGTCGACGGCGTGCCAACGTCGCAGGTTGATGGCGTGACAGCGTTGCTCACGCAGGACAGCAGTGCACCCTGCTTCGCAGTTGTGCGCAGATGATTGGCGTGCAGAGTCTCGTCACCTGCACAGCACACACACCACGTCAACCTCGAGCTGACGACTGCCTCTGATCTGCCACGACGACCTCGGGATACCACCACCGAGGTCGGGCTCGCCAACTTCGCCTGGGCGACCGTCGCACTCCTCCGCAGCACTTCGTCACCCAGGTAACCTGGTCGACCAGGCAACCACGTCGACCAGCAGCTCCCCGGTCGTGCCCGTCGACCTCCCAAGTCGACGACCACCTCCACGTCGACCTCACCAGGTCGACGACACCATCGGTCGACCTCCTCCAGGTCGACGTCCCCTCTGGTCGACCAGCTCCACGTCGACCAGTACTCCTGGTCGACCTGCTCCTCGTCGACCAACACAGTCGTCGGCCGACCACCCACGTCGGCCACCCAAAGCTAGCGTCACGAAGTTGACGCCCCGCTACTCGACGCCCGACTGCTCGGCGTCCTGCGTCAAGGTCGACGTCGGCCCCTCCTTCGTCGACCACCAGGTCCAGTCGATCACTAACAGGTCGACCAGCAGTTCGTTAGCCGACCGCCGAAGTCGGCTTCTCCAAGTTGACGTCACACCAAGTTGACGTCCTCCGCAGGTCGACTCCCAAGTCGACCTCCCTGAAGTCGGCGCCACCCTGAAGTCGGCGCCCGTGCAGTGGTCCCCCGTGCAGGTCTCCCTCCTCGTCGACCAGCTCACCCACTGCTGTAGGTCGGCTGCTCCCCTCACACCCGACCACAAAGTCGGCTCCGCCCAAGCGAGGACGGGGCCAATACCCAACTCCCGTTGACACTCCTCCCCTTCCTTTCCCACACCCTGCCATCTGCCATCCCATACGGCCATGGGTCCACACCACACACCAGCAAGGAGGTGTTGCGGGAGAGAGCACCGCATTTGGTGGACACAGTGCTGCCAAGCCTTTACCACCCGCCTCATCCCTGCCGCTTCCCCTCCCCTTCCCATGCCGTGCCGTGTCCCACCGCCCATTTCATGCCTGTCGTGTGCCATCTCCCATTCTGCCACGCCCATGGGTCCACACCACACACCAGCAAGGAGGTGCTGCGGGAGAGAGCACCCCATCTGGTGGACACAGTGCTGGCATACCGTGCCATTGCCACCCACCCACCCACCCTATGCCTGCTGCTTCCCCTCCCCTTGTGCCATTCCTTACTGCCCCTGGGCCCACCAGCAAGGAGGTGCTGCGGGAGAGAGCGCCCCATCTGGTGAACACTGTGCTGGCATACCGTGCCGGGTACACTGCTCAGGTCAGCCACTTACCATGCTGTTGCTCGCCACGACCTCTCCCTCCCTCCCGCATTTCCGCTCTTGCCTTGTGACTTTGTCGGCCCTGCCTGGACGCGCTTCCACTCTTCCCCTCCGTGCCCTTGCGTGCCATGAGCTGCCTGTTGCCTGCCGCTACTGCACTCGCGCTCCTCTGAGGGAGAACCCACACAGGATAGCTGAGGTAGTGCTGTTGCTGATGCACACCGCCAGCCTCTGGCAGCAGGCCGGCCGGGCACGGCTGGCTAGGGCAGGCCGCAGGGCAGGCTGCAGGGCAGGCCGCAGGGCAGGCTGCAGTGTGCAGGGCTCACACAAGCCATTCTCCATGCCCACTCCTGCCCCTCAACCCCCCAACACATCCCATCAGGACCGGCGGCGCATAGAGAGGGAGCTGTTTCACGGGCGTCTCCGTGCCGTGGCAGCAACAAGTGCTCTCGAGCTAGGAGTGGACGTGGGGGCTCTCGACGCCACCCTCCACCTCGGCTTCCACGGCTCCACCGCCAGCCTCTGGCAGCAGGCCGGCCGGGCAGGCCAGGGCAGGGTGCAGGGTAGGCTGCAGGGTGCCCACTCCTGCCCACTCCACGCAGGGTGTTGGCTCACACAAGCCATTCTCCTTGCCCACTCCTCCCCCCTCCCACTTTCCCCCCTCCCATATCAGGACCGGCGGCACATAGAGCGGGAGCTGTTTCACGGGCGTCTCCGTGCCGTGGCAGCAACAAGTGCTCTCGAGCTCGGAGTGGACGTGGGGGCTCTCGACGCCACCCTGCACCTCGGCTTCCATGGCTCCACCGCCAGCCTCTGGCAGCAGGCCGGCCGGGCAGGCCGCCGGGAAAAGGCCTCTCTCTCCATCTACGTTGCCTTTGATGGGCCTCTCGATCAGTACTTCATGGCGGCTCCTGAGAGGCTGTTCTCTCGGCCAATCGAGCGCTGCCAGCTGGACGCAGAGAATCCCCTGGTGATGCGGCAGCAGCTGCAGTGCGCTGCGGCGGAGCTGCCGCTGCTGGAGGATGTGGATGGGAGGTTCTTTGGCCCGTCATTGGCCGAGAGGATTGCTGAGCTGGCAGGGAAGGGCGTGCTCGGGAGGAGCCCGGAGAATCCCGAGGTGGACCGTAGTTGGAGGTACATTGGGGAGGGGAGGCGGCCGGCGCAGTTTGTCCCGGTGCGGGCGATCGACCCAAACACGTATGCGGTGGTGGAGACGAGGACAGGGAGGGTACTGGAGGAGATTGAAGAGAGCAAGGCCTTCTTTGTGGTAGGTGTCTGCGGGTATGGGTCATGCTGTGTGTCGTGCGGTGCATGTGGAAGAGTAGAGTGCAAGGGCTTTCTTTCCATCTCCAATGCTGTTGCGTTATGCATGCTGCATACCTCCAGCCACAAACTCCCAGCCACACACTCCCAGCCACACACTCCGACACACTCCCAGCCACACACTCCTAGCCACACATTTACATTCATTCTCCCCCATCCCCCCATGTGCAGCTGTACGAGGGTGCAGTGTACCTGCAGCAGGGGCGAACCTTCCTGGTGACTTCCCTGGATCTGGAGAAGCGGGAGGCACGGTGTGTGCGAGCGGATGTGCGGTATTACACCAAGACGATTGACATGGTCACTGTGACAATAAAGGGGGGCACTCTGGTGAGCACATGGGCAGCAGATTCTTTTTTATGAAGACCAAGCACCATCGAATTGACATGCCTCCTTTATCTTCTCAATCGGCAGGCTTTTCCATACCCACACATGCCATCAGCAAAGCCTGCTTCAGCTCCTACTGATATGATGTCAGCACACACAGTGCTCAACGAGGCGATGACCTCAGCAGCACATGCAGCAGCACCCTCTGAGCCAATGACGTCAGCACACGTGGCAAAAGGCAGTGTGCTGACATCAGCACAGACAGCGCCGTGTGAGGTGACGACTCGGTGGACTGGTTACCGCAAGATGTGGCGCGGGTCAGGAGAGCCGTTTGAAACGGTTGAGATGACACTGCCAGATGTAACGTACGCCACCCAGGTGAGTCAGTTGACATGACACCACCTGGTGGTAACGATGACAGATACGTGATTCGCTGGTGGTCACGTGTCCCTATATTGTTTCAGTACAGACGCACATTATCATTTCCTGGCTCGGCAGTCACTGCAGTCGCTCACTCGCATGCTGCGTTTCCTCATGCTCGGCATTCAAACCGTCTCCGTCTCACTCGCACTTGCATCTGTGGGGGCGTGGGGCGGGCAGGCAGTGTGGGTGGGCGTGGCGGGCGGGACAAAGGCGGCAGTGGAGGCAGCAGGGAGTGACTACCGTGCCAGTCTGCATGCTGCCGCTCATGCCCTCGCCAACATGGTGCCCCTGTGAGTGGCACTGTTCACCCATGCATCAGCACGCCTAAAAATCAACGCATGGATTCTTTCATCAACGCGTAACAACAGTTGGTTAACGTGGGATGGGATACCACCGCTCACATGGTGCCACGGAAAGTAACATAAACAACAAGCGCACTTCGCTCCTCACATGCCCGTCTACTACTCTCAACGAGGGGGAGAATTCTCACTACATTCTCCCTCACTCCAACCCTCCCTCCCTGCCACCTTTCCTCCGCTCCCCTCACTTCGCCTGCATGACATTAGACGTAGCACTGCGCCACCTTCCCTTCTTCTGCTCCATCTGTCCATTGCCCCTTTTCTCATCCCCTCGCACTTCTGCCTGCATGCCATCCACCCGTGCAACTTCCTCGCCTGCATGGCATCAGACTGCGTTTCCCTTCTCTGCCCTCCATCTGCTCCCTCTATTCACCGCACCTTCTCGGATGAGATTCAACCCCGGATTAAGGTTCACCGGGGGATGAAGGTTCACCCCCGGATGAAGGTTCACCCCCGGATGAAGATTCACCCCTGGATGAAGGTTCACCCCCGGATCAGTTCAACCCCGGATTAAGATTCACCCTCGGATTAAGGTTCACCCCCGGATGAAGGTTCACCCCCGAATGAAGGTTCACTCCAGGATGAAGGTTCACCCCCGGATTAAGGTTCACCCCCGGATGAAGGTCCACCCCCGGATGAAGGTTCACCCCCGGATGAAGGTTCACCCCCGGATGAAGGTTCACTCCCGGATTAAGGTTCACCCCCGGATGAAGGTCCACCCCCGGATGAAGGTTCACCCCCGGATGAAGGTTCACCCCCGGATGAAGGTTCACCGGGGGATGAAGGTTCACCCCCGGATGAAGGTTCACCCCGGATGAAGGTTCACCCCCGAATGAAGGTTCACTCCCGGATGAAGGTTCACCCCCGGATGAAGGTTCACCCCCGGATGAAGGTTCACCCCCAGATGAATCTTCACCCCCGGATGAAGGTTCACCCCCGGATGAAGGTTCACCCCCGGATTAACCTTGCCCTTCCGCCTGCATGGCGTTCACCCATCCAGCTTCCTAGCCTGCATGGTATCGGACATGGTGGTGGGCTGCGCATCGCCCTATGAATCCTTCTCTCCGTCTGCCACTCTCTCATCCCTCATCGCTGCTCCCATCTCTTGTCCACCTGTCCAGCTTCCTATCCTGCATGGCATCGGACATGGGAGTGGAGTGTGCATCGCCCTACGACTCGCGCTTCTTCCCCCAGCGCCTCCTGCTCTACGACAAGCACCCGGGAGGGATAGGCTTGGCGGTGCAGGTATGTCCGATAGGCAGAGGGGAAGATACTCCTTCTATCCACCGCCCCTGCTTTCACCGCTCGCCCTACGACTTGTGCTTCTTCCCCCAGCGCCTCCTGCTCTACGACAAGCACCCGGGAGGGATAGGCTTGGCGGTGCAGGTATGTCCGATAGGCAGAAGGGAAGATACTCCTTCTATCCACCGCCCCTGCTTTCACCGCTCGCCCTACGACTCGCACTTCTTCCCCCAGCGCCTCCTGCTCTACGTCAAGCACCCGGTCGGGATAGGTCTGGCAGGGCAGGTATGACTGCCTGGGACCTGGGGAAATCAGTCCTGGATGTGTGATTGCAGGTGGTAGTATGGATATGTGAACCGCCTGCAATCGCACCTCCAGGGCCTTGTGAACTTGCTGACTTGCTAGCTCAGCCTTGCATCCTGTCATTTATCGAATGTTGTCATGCAGGCCCAGGTTTCGAATCACTTTGATCTTCCTGCCTCCTCCCTGCTCTTGTCACCTCTTTTTTCTTTCAGCTGCAGCCTCAGTTCCCTGCAATTCTCCAAGCTGCACTGGAGCTGGTTTCCAAGTGCCAATGTAACATGCCCAATGGCTGCCCTGGCTGTGTACATGTGAGTCAAACGGTCTTTTTTTTTTTTTTTTAATCGAGTGTGTTCTTGTAGAACTCACATGCAGTATCATTTTTGTGTTTGCTGTTTGTGCACATTATTAGTGATGTAACCGTTTTCAATTCTTGCCATCCACCCAAACAACGTTTCCCAACATCATCCGGAAACATGCAGTTTCTAGCGTGTGGAGAGTATAATGGCGTGCTGGACAAAAGAGGAGCTCAACTTATCTTGAAGGTGCAATGAAACTTTTTGGATCCACCATTTGTAAATCATCTCAGCATTGTTGTCAATTTCTGACATTTCCTTATAAAGTTGCGCGTGTGCAGATGGCAGTGGATTCAGAAAATGAGTTTCTGAGGGACATGGGAGTCCCCTTGTCGCAGCATTCTGGTGGCTTTTTCAAAAAGGGAAAACTGTGATTTGTGTATTTCTATGTATAGCATTGTGATTCAGATTGCGGTGTAACAACGACCTTCCCATATCGCACGACCTGGAACCTGAAACTGGTGGCTTGGTGGTGGACCTGCTGTCGGTTTCTTGTGTTTCTTGATGACTTAGGGCGTATCCAACTTCGGGTCATCAGCACTGTTCATTCAACTGTTTGGGGCATCCGCAAATCACGCATTTCCGAACTCAACACCGGAACCGCGCGCGGCTCGAACTTTGGGTCATCCTGCAACCTGCATGCGACCGTCACTCCCAATGTGACCGCCACCAATCAGAAACAAGTGCGACCCCATGTTGGGTCCCCCTCTTTTGACGGACGCCTTACAGCATTCACGCCCGGCAATTTCACCAACACCATCCCTGCGTGTAGCACAATTCTTTTTCTGCCGTCTTGTGAAACCCTTGGGTGAGACTGTGTGGTTGGGATGGGTTTCGGAGGCGCGCAGATCCAAATGTTCCATTACCGCCTGGAATTTTGACGGATGGGTTGGTGGGGTGAGTGTCGCGCAACCGGGTGAAAGGGATCGCATGGCATGAAGGCGGGCGCACCTATTGGTTGGAGCAACTTTTGGCTCTGGTTTTTTGGCGGGACAACAAACGCACCTTTTTAGGGTCGCACGATGATCGATGGCCTTAAAGCCCATCCCCCGAATTACCGAAACGCCTTCACAAACTGGGCCCAGTTTGTGTCTCGCCCCTTCTGGTTTCGAGGAAGAGAGGTTTAGGAGAGGTTTTCGAACCTCAACACTCTGCTTTCCCAAACCTATTTTCCCGCGTTGACTTCCGTTGAGTAATTCGGGTGTTGCCCTTTAAGTGGTGTTTTATGTAGTTCGGGGCATCCGCAAATTGCGGATGCCCGGAACAGTGCTGATGACCCGAACCTGGATACGCCCTTACTTTCCGTCCCCCTAAATTTGGGGGTCTTGTCCTGAAGCTTTTACCGCCGTGCCCATCGCGGCCAATGGGTTGTCGCGTTGGTTCTGACAACGCTGACCAGACGAGAGGGGCGAAATTGTAACTCGATATCGACAGCGTCTCAGCGAGTGAAGTCAGGACGGCCTCCCCCAGCAGCACCGTACAGCACAATGCAGCCAGTCAAACCTTGAATTTGCCCGTCTCTCCAACTTGTTGCCAACAACCAACAACGGCCAGGAAAGCCTGTAAACTTCTCCCATTTCCAGCAATACCGTACCCACTCGCACATTAACGCCTTATAACGTAAAGCACCATACTGAGACGCATTCAAAACCTTTTGAAACACACCGACCAGCGAACCAGAAAGCACCAGTGGGCATACAGGCTGTCGGCCATCTCATCGTCCTCCTGTCCACGTATCTTCAAAAATTATACGTGTGCTTGCGATGTGATTGAACGTTGGCTCGAGATGAAGCCTAGCCGAAGCGTGGGCTACCAGCATGCCTCGCCCACAGACAGCACATCTCCCGCAACCCTGTATTAGTGCTCCTTATGAAGTGAGTCGTTCCTTATGACTCTCCGAAGCAAGATCGTGAACAGGCAGCATTTTGCCGTTGCTTGCAGACTTACTTTGCGCTGAATGTGTTTTCATTGAGTTGCGCGTTCTTGCGGTCCTCTTAGCTTGCAGACGAAGACACCGGAGTGAACATGCAGGAATTGGGTTTCCTGGCTCGAATCTTTATGTACGTGCGTGCTGAGATGCTCCGTCGTTATGCTGCTGCACCATTCAGAATTATTAGTGATTAAGACTCAGACCGTAACGGCATCATATCAAAGCCCAGTGGGTGATCGCGGAATTCCTTTTCCCCGAAGCGATTTTTTAGAGAAACGTTCAAGTGTTCGCAAGGTTTTGTGTCAATGGATAATGCAGCTGATGATAGCCGTCCGATCAATCAGATTGAAGACTCCTCAGAACACCATAATGCACTCCAAGAGTCTCTGCGTCAGCGAAGTCGTTCCATAGACACCGAAGCAGAGCCAGATTCGCACCGTTCCGACACGAGTCGACTCGATAATCCCCCAGATCTGCGTCGTTCCCTCTCGGACGGATCTCCTCGCCAGGCTCCAGTTGTTCCTACCAACAGATCTCCCGATTGTGTCGGGTCGGCAAGACGACAGGACGCTCCTGTCGGTTCCACTGACAACGCTGACATGGATCGTTGTGGCTCTCCTCCGAGTCAGAATCAAGACTTCCTGTCATCCGCTCAGGCCTCGCCATTCGATCGAAAACCCCGACATTGTAATGGGTCTCCAGCCAGGCCCGGTGGATCTCCAGCCAGGCCCGATGGATCTCCAGCCAGGCCCGGTGGGTCTCCAGCCAGGCCCGGTGGGTCTCCAACCAGATTCCATGAATTCCCAGCCAGACTCGGTGAAACCTCAACCAGGCTCCACGATTTACCAGCCAGAGCTGGTGGGTCTCCACCCAGGCTCCATGATCTACCAGCCAGACCCCAGACCTGCTCGTACGCTTCTCCGCACACCGCAGCCGCTGCCCATAAAGATTTGCCCGACCGCCAATCGCCTGATCAGGCCTTTTCAGATCCGAGATCGCCTGACCAAGGATTGTCTGAACGAGAATCGCATGATAGAGTATCAAATGACGGAGAGTTGTCGTTTGGTCGAGAATCGGCTATTTGTAGATCTCCTGATAGAGAATCGTCGCCTGATCAAGACTCTTTGTTTCAGCCGAGTCGTAATGGCGCACAAGTGTTGACGGGACGCACCGAGGCTTGTATAAGGGGACATTACTATACCGAGGGTTATCCAACAGATGATCAACAAACGGAGAGTTACCGTAAGGAGGGTTACCGAACTGAGGACGATTGCACCGGTGACTCTCGCAAGGAGGATTATCGCACGGATGGCTCTCGTACGGAGGACACTCGTACGGACGTACCAAGTGACCGGATCACTCACAGATTCCCTGATCGCACGTATGGGTTCCTGCAGCGCGCCGATGGGTTCCTGCAGCGCGCGCAGCTGTTGCTGCAGAGCCTCGCGAGCCGCAGCCGGTGGTGGTGGGTGCAGCGGCGACGAGTCGCCGCGTTTGTGATCCAGAGGAAGGTCGCCTGGGCTGCTGCGGCCACGCGGCCGTGGACTCAGACGGGGAAGAGCCGACACCGCCGCCGATTGGGAAGCGGAATGGGAGGCGGAGGGGGAGGGGGAGGGGGAGGGGGAGGGGGAGGGGGAGCGGGAGGGGGAGCGGGAGGAGGGGGAAAGGGCGCGAGTGTAAACAGGGTACTGGCCGCACTGGCGGTGGTTCTCTTTGTGGTGAATTTCATCCTGCTCTCCTCGCGCATGGACGGGGCTGCGCGGAGCAAGCAGGCGCGCGGGGTTCATGGCACGGGGGCGCGGAGCGAGCGCCAGGCGGAGAACGAGGAGGCGGAGGAGGGAGGGTTTGCGGATGTGACCGCGAATGCTCACGTCCGCCCTGGGTACGGACGGCCACTGCTCCCACTCACTGTCACAGCCGCACTATCTCACTCACTGTCACAGCCGCACTATCTCACTCACTGTCACAGCCGCACTATCTCACTCACTGTCACAGCCGCACTATCTCACTCACTGTCACAGCCACACTATCTCACTCACTGTCACAGCCGCACTATCTCACCCACACACTCCCTCAATGCGTCCCTTGGCCTGTTGAAGCTTCCAGAACCTTCAAAAAAGCGTCTCGAACTCTCATAAGGCATTTGGCAACTTCGCCATGCCCTGCTCGAGTTTCCCATCTCTTCACGCTTCCGCTCACGGTCCAGAACCCCCTTGTACGGCCCCCTTTCCCCCCTCCCCCCACCCCTTCTACTCCCCACTGCGCGACAGGGCCGGATCAGGCGGGCATGGGCGCGAGGAGTGGTACAGGCGAGGGCTGCACACCCTCCCAGGCTCCCCCCCTCGCCCCAAATGGAATGCCTCTGACGATTCCTTCCTCAACTCCCTCGTATGGCCCTCACTCTCTTCCTGTACATTCACCCTGCACACTCACCCTCCACTTTTGAGACGCCTCAAAAGTATTCTCCCCCTCGCCCGAAATGGAACGCCTCTGATGACTCCCTTCTCAACTCCCTCGTATGGCCCTCACTCTCACCATGCCCACTCGCCCTGCTCACTCGCATCGTGACATCCCGTCTGCATTCCCCCCCTTGCCCCAAATGGAACGCCTCTGATGACTCCTCCTCAACTCCCTCATATGGTCCTCACTCTCACCATGCCCACTCGCTCTGCTCACTCGCATCGTGACATCCTGTCTGCATGACCCCCCTCCCCCTCGCCCGAAATGGAACGCCTCTGATGACTCCCTTCTCAACTCCCTCGTATGGCCCTCGCCCTCACTCTACACATTCCCATGAGCACTCGCTCTACACACTTGCACTTTCCTCACGGCCGTCCTAGCAACCTGCAGTACCGCACCTCTTACTGCCACACCACGCTGTCCCTCTCACTGTCTTCAATCCCCTCTGCTCTCCACCGCTCTACCAGCAATGCCCTGCCTTTCCCCCCTATACCTCCCTGCCTCTCACCCCTCTGGCTCCCCGCCTCTCACCCCTCTGCCTCCCCGCCTCTCACCCCTCGTGAGCCATGCAGCTGAGCAGGTGGCACGTGCAGCCATACTCGTCGCAGCCAGGCGTGTATCTGCTGCAGCAACCTACGGACTTCGCCTGTGTGCTGCTCATCCAGGACGCCTGCTACCTCTTCATGCAAGGTAAGGCCTCCTCCCTTCCGTTCCCCACGTACCACCGCCTCTTCATGCAAGGTGCCGTACTGGGTACCACACTCCCTATGTGCCACCTCAACATGCGAGGTAAGGATACCTTCCCCTCTCTCGAAATGACTTCTGAGTCGACTCAGAACTCGTTTTGATGCAACCTCTTCTCCTCCCCACCACTCGCACCACTCCCGCCACTCCTCTATATCACACCAGGCAAGTCAAAGCACCACCAGCCACACACGGGGATCTGGTTCGCCAGGGATCGAACCCGCGACCTCTCACAGATATCCATTGTCAACAACGTGTGCCACCTGTACAGTGACAGGCTGGCAGACGCGCTGTACGAGTCCTGGCTGGAGCTGAGTTGGCATGAGCTGGCAGCGGCCCTCGAGAGAGAGGCGGTTCATGGGAAAGGGGTGGGTAGGGAGAGGGTGGAAGCAGGGGTGGGGGAAAGAGGAGAGAGAGGAGGAACGGAAGGGAGGGGTAGGGAGAGGCAAGCGTTCTGGAAGGGCAGGCGGAAGGGGAGGGGAGCAGAGCGAGCAGGTGGGGGAGCAGAAGGGGAGGAGGTAGGGGCGGGAGGGGTGGAGGTGGGAGCAGGAGGGGTGGGTGGAGGGATGAGTGTGGAGGATGTGAAGGAGGTCGCCCGGTTGCATGCTGCAGCAGTGCGGAAACGCAAGGCGGTCATGGCTGCCGCTGCTGCTTCTGGTGCTGCTGCTGCTAGTGCGGCAGCAGGGGAGACGAGCACGCAGCAAGACAACAGCAAAGGGGGCAGCAGAAACGGCAGGAACAAGGGCAGGAGTAACGGCAGCAACAACAAGGGCAGCAGCAGCAATGGGGTCGCATGGGCGCAGTACCATGCGACCACGGACCAGTCTGCAACAGGGGACAACGGACTAGGGTACTCACTAGACGCTCTCGACGCTCCAGAATCTCGAGAATCTCTAGAAGCTCTAGACGCTTCTGATGGGCCGGTGGTGGAGCCGGTGAGGTTGAGAGACCCCAGTGACGATTGGCCGCCGCCAGGGACAGGCGCGAGGGCGCAGGAGGCGAAGGCACAGGAAGCGAAGGCTGGTGAGAGGGCCGGGAGGGGTGTGAGAGGAGGTGGTGGTGGTGGACGGGAGAGGGTTGAGGTGGGTCAGACGGGAGGGAAGGTGAGTGGGAAGGGTGGGACGAGTGTGAGAGGAGGTGGTGGAGGAAGGGAGAGTGGGAGGACAGTGAAGGTGAAGGTGGTGAGTGCTCGGAGGAAGCTGCTGGGAATCTGGGGGTCCCGGCAACGCCACAGCCGGGGGAGGCGCACACAGCAATCCCACAGGAGAAGCAGCAGCAGCAGCAATGCTGCCAACACCACCACTTCCACCACCACCACCAGCAGCAGCAGCAGCAGCGCGAGCGTCAGCAGCAGAAGCAAATACCACCTCCCCCAGATGCATACTCTGCAGCCACGGCACACGGCCATGGACAACCTAGCAGACGGGTTCGCCCAGGAGCCAGACGAGCAACCCCCCGTTGACCTCTCCGACCTGAAGCGCCGCTCCCTGCACACTTACGGGCGGCTGACTAACCACCTGGGCATGACCCGGTACGTGGGGGTGAGTGAGAGGAGGAGTAGGGAGCGGCTGGTGAGGGGGATGAGGGGGAGGGGGGTGAGGGTTGGTGTGGTGGCGCGGTATGGGTCGGCTGTGGGCGAGTTTGGGCGCGCGCTGGTGCCTCTGATGGAGGTGGCGGGGCACCTGGAGGGGTCGTTGCAGGCACAGACAGACACAGCACAGTTGGGTCAGCAGCAGCGTGGAGAGGAACGGCAGGTGGAGCAGGCGGGGCGGGGAGAGCAGGGAGGGGAGCAGCAGAGGCGGGGTGATGAGGGAGTGGTGGTGTTCTTCCCCGGAGATGACTCCATTCGCTCCCCATGGACCGTGCATGCCGCCCGCCTGCTGTTTGGTGACGCCACCCGGGTGGAGGCAGGCAGAGTTGCCGGCCAGAGGGTGAGACACACGGTGCACTTTCACTGGTCTTGCAAACAACAAACAAACAAACAAACAAACAAACAAACAAACAAACAAACAAACAAACAAACAAACAAACAAACAAAAACATCCTTTGCTGATAATCACAGTCAAGCTTCCTCCTGGTGCAGACCGGCAGAGAATGGTGTGCTGAAAGGAGAGGAAACATCCTCTACCCCTTTTCCTTTCCTCCCATTCCGTTCCCCCCCCATCACACCACCAGGTGTGCTTCCAGAACCTGCTGCTCCCCATTAACAAGCTGCACTGCCCATCTCCCCACCCCATTCCACCCCATTCCCCTCATTACCCCACCAGGTGTGCTTCCAGAACCTTCTGCTCCCCATCAGCAAGTTGCACCGTCCTCACAGTGCCGACCTCACTCGCCGCCGCGCCTCTCAAACCGCACAAGCCACACACGCCACTCAGAACTTCCAAGCCACTCACACTGCAGCAGCCACTCTCCACGCCCCTCAACCCACCCACTCACTCACTGACCCCCTCCCAAGCTTCTCAAGCGCCCCAATCCTTCCAAAGACCCCCCAGCAAGCTCTTCAACCCTCCTCCCTGGCACCTCCTCTTGCTCTCAAGTCACTTGACGTATCGATACAAGCTGTCTCGCCACAAGCCATGGCATCTGCATCTGTTGACCGCACAGGGAGGGTGGTCCCCTCAAGGCGGCAGGAGGGTGCAAGTGCAGTGACGGATGGAGGGGCGCGCGTGGGTTTGCAGGGCAACTATGGAAATGGGTCGCAATCACAAGTGCGACCGGAGGTTTATGAGAGGAGAATACTGCCAAAGCTTGCCATCCACGCATCTCCAGAGGAGAGGCTGGCTGTGGGTGTTGCTGCGCTGCCATTGGGTGATAAACGTCGGGCAGCTGCTCTGGCGAATCCCCTGGCTGCTGCTGCTGCCGCTGCTGCAGCTGCAGCGGGTGCGGCAGGAGGAGTGGCAGCAGGAGGAGTAGGAGGAGTAGAGGAAGCAAGGAGGCGCACAGACATGGGTTCAAGGCCGCGTGAGGGAGTGGGGCAGAAGCAGCACGGTGCTGGGGTGAAAGGAAAGAGCGGTGAGGAAGGGGAGCTTAACGAGCACGAGAAAACGAAGAGGGAGAAGGAGAGAAAGAGATTGGAAGGAGAGGAGGCGCAAGGAGAGGATGACGATCCAGTGGCAGATGCTGAAGCAATTGCGAGGCAGGAGATAGATGACTACTTGGACCAGTACCAGGAGGAGCAACACCGCACCGACCGTGATAGTGACCATGACAGTGACAGTGACCGCCTCCCCCTCCCCACTGATACCAACTTTTCCCCCACTCCCAATCTCAACCTATCCGGCCTTGCTACTGCTGAGCCCGGTGCTACTGGGATTGAGGCCTCTCCTCCCTCCTCCACAGGAGGTTTGCAGCCGGTGATTCCCACTCAAACGTTTCTATACCTGCTGCCTGACCGGGATGCCTTGGGCAGATTAACGGGCAGCACGGGAAAGGATTCCTGGCAGGTGACTCTAGTGGAGCGTGACAATGTGGAGGGGCTGAAGAACCAGCAGGAAGTGGTAGCGCTGATTCAAGAGGTTTTCCCGGAGCTGCCGGTGGTGATAGTGCGGCTTGGCAACGTGTCACTGTATGATCAAGTGACAATAATGAAGGTGAGCAAGCTTTTTGTGGTGTGCACTGCACTCCTACACACTAGGGATTGACTTGCTTATAAGGCCGTTCGTACTCTTTCCAGTCCAAGGGACACCAAGTCTGTCCACCCGTTCTTGCTCCCTCTGAACCCTTCCCACACCCCTGTACCCATTTCATTCACCCCAATACCCCCACCCTCTGACACTCCCCCAACCCCCATCCCCCTCCCTCTCCCCAACCCCTCTGCACCCCTTTCATTTCCCTTCAGCGCACGCTCATCCTTGTAGCAGTCCACGACCTTATCCTCTCCACCTCACTCTTCTTCCTGCCACGTGGCGCTGTCCTATTGGAGCTCTTCCCCTACAAGCTTTTCAGCACGCAGCACAAGAAGCTTGCACTCCGCTCTGGTATACACTACATGGCTTGGCAAAACCAGTTTCGCTACAATGGATTCTTTGGGGAAAATTGCTTTTGGCGAGGAGGTTACAAGGATACAAAAGACGAAGTATGCTGGAGAAAGAAAGATTGTATGAGGTGTATCCGAGACAAGAGTACAACATGGGTGGCAGGTAGAGATCTTTTGGAGGTTTTAGCAAATGCAAGGTTGCATGTGCTGAAGCGGCTACCTCGCATTGCCATGCACAGGCGAAGTGTAGGTAGGTAATTGTATTCATTCTTTATTGGTGCAATAATACTTGTGTTCCATATGTTGCGTCTTGTTCGATCTAATGAACGCCACTGTGCTGGTAGCGCGGATTTGGCGAGCTTATGTCGATGTTCGGTGAACACGTTGATGATGATCAGTAACTCTGCGAAGAACGGCGATGAAGGTTTGTGGCGATAATATCAGAAGGCAAAGAACAGGTCAGCACGATTCCTTGCGACAAGGCTCGAGAGAAATTCCGATGCCAGCATGGCGATCAACGATTGGGGAATGTTCACGGTAAGCTGCTCAACAGTCTTCGTCACTGAAAGTGGGGCTAGCAAGGGCAGCGACGCGTGATGTATGGCGGGCGGCACCAACGCGAAGCGCGTTTACTGAGTGAAGGGCATTCCGAAGCGCGGATGCAGTAAGTGAGCAACATTGACATTCAAACCATATGTTTGCCAGCACAACCAAGCAACGAGTACGTGAACCACGGGGAGAACTGTCTGAACCGTACTAGAAGCCTGAAATAATATTCACAATTTAATGAGCACCGTCTAACCATGTGATTTGATCCTCTGCCTCCCCACCCCACCCATCACGGTTTTGGCTTGCGCCAAAAAACAAGCATTTGAGGAGTTGACAAAGCAACCCTCCTTTCCTTGATGTCTTGCTCACTCCACAATCCAGCGCAACAGCGTCTGGGTAGGTGTTTAGCTGTCGCCTTTACCATCGACACAGTAGGCCGCACGGAACGTCCTTTCGCGGCACAGCGATCTCGAAAGCTTCCATCAGTACAATACAGAGGGCAAAGGCTTGCTGGCTATGCTGTATTTCCCGCAGTCTCCAAAATGACTTGCTTATCAACCTGCCACCTTTTCAAATCCCCCCTTTTTCATTTGGAACTAGTCTACTCGATACCCATCATCCTCTACTGATATTTTAATTATTCATGAGAGTCATAAATGAGTGCTGCTCGTGCTACCAGTACAGCTTCTTTGCCTTCTGGCTTCACATCTCATCGAAAACCTCCCACATAATAAACCACTTTTCTCCTGAAGTTAGAAGTCTCTAGAAAGCAGGCTCGTGCAGTGCACTGTCACGCCGCACAGGGGCTTCTTACGCTGCTACCCGGTCATACCTGGTGCCACTCGGTGCCGCACGGTGCCACAAACGCGCATACAGCGCCGGTCGCAAAGGAGTGCTGCCATGCGCGCTCGCATGCGGGAAATTAATCGCGCGCTCGCCTTCCGGGGCGTCGCAATCGCGGCGTTCCTGCTGTCCGCCACGTGCGCATCGGCGACTGCTCATGACCACCCGTTTCTTCCGCCCTTCCGTTCCGCGCTTGCGCTAAAGGCGCTCGAGGTGGAACCCTCTCCGTCGCCCGAGTCGCTCCGCGAATCGCGGCGCGCGCTAAACGCGGTGGAGGTGGAGTCGATAGCGGGCCCCGGCTGCGTGAACGCGTTTCCCGCGAAGCCGCTCTGCAAGTTCGTCGACAGCCTCACGTCGCGCGTGATCCCCGTGTTGGACGGCGGCTCCGGCAAGACGCTGACCATCGGCGTCTACCAGACATACCAGGTGCGGCTCGGCGTTGGCTCAGCGAGTGACTATGTTGCCTGAATATTCATGCACAATAATGACGAGCTTAATTGGGTGATCGGTACGTGGACGAATGAACGAGCGTGTGCTTCAAAAACAGGAACTGGTGACGAACTTGTGACTGGCGGCTGTGACAGATCGTCCTGTGTGTGACTGTGCGTGCAGAAATTTCACCGCGACCTTCCCGCGACGAAGATCTACGCGTACGGCGTGAGCGAGAAGACCGCGTCGTACCCTGGGCCGACGATCGTGGCGAAAAAGGGGGTTACCACGCAGGTAACCTGGTGCAACCGGCTGCAGGACCGGCAGCACATGTTCACGCAGGACTACACGCTCATGAAAGAAATGCCCAAGCCGAAAAAGGGAGGCATTCCAACCGGTGAGTGCGCTTTGAGTCGACTCTGACGGGTACTTACTGGTCGATAAGCGTACTTACTGACTCTTTTGAGCTGGACAGCGCGAGCCCAGGGTAGTTCAGTTATGCTGTAAAGGCCGGGCGCCCTAGCTTTGTCGCGGCCTCTTGCCCACCGCTTTTGAGTCGACTCCAATGCTCACCTGCTCGCTTGCTTGCCTGCCTTCCCGCGGTCGTCTACATGATTTCCCACCTCCCTGCCTGCCTGGCCGCCTGCCCGACTGTCTATCCACCCCTCCCCTCCCCCAGTGCCCCACCACCACGGTGGCGAGACGATGAGCAAGTACGACGGGCACCCACTCGCGTGGTTCACGCAGTTCGGCGAGCACGGCCCCACCTTTTCCTCCTCCTCCTCACACTCCCCCAACTCCTCTTACTCCTCCTCGTCCTCGTCCTCCTCCCCCTGCGTCACCTACGAGTATCGCAACCAGCAACCGGCCTCCCTCACCTGGTATCACGACCACACGCTCGCTTGGACGCGCCTCAACACTGTAGCGGGGATGGCGGGCTTCTATATCAAAACCGACGCTAACGGGGATGAGCGCGACATGAAGGCATGGCTTCCTCCGTGGAAGCGCACCGTGCCTCTGGCGATCGCGGACCGCCTGTTCTTTAAGAACGGATCGATTAACTTCCCCAACGTGGGCGTGGATCCTAAAGTGCATCCGAATTGGATTCCCGAGTACATCGGCGACACCATCGTGGTCAACGGCTTGGTGAGTGCACACTCGCGTCAATTACCGTGTCTACGAGTCGACTTGCGAGTTCCAACCTTCCAACTTCCAACGTCTCCTCCACATGCGTGCGTGGTGTCCTCTCTGCTCTTCCTCTCTGCTCTTCCCCAGGTGTGGCCGTACCTGCGCGTGCGCCCCGCGGTGTACCGCTTCCTCCTCCTCGGCGCGGCCAACGCGCGCTTCTTCAACCTCCGCTTCCAGTGCGCCGCGCGCGGAGACTACCCCAACTTCGTCCCCCCGCTTCGCGGAAGCGTCGTCAATTTCGCGCTCATTGGCAGCGACGGGGGGTACCTGCAGCGGCCCGTGTTCCTCTCCTCTCTGCTGCTGGCTCCCGGGGAGCGATACGATATTCTGGTCGACTTTGCCGCGGCGCAGCAGGGCGGCGCGTGCAGGGATGTGATTTTAACGAATGATGCTGCAGCGCCGTATCCCGGGGGAGAGGCGGTGGATGGCAACACGGGCGTGGTGATGCGGTTTGTGATCCTCGACCGCAGTCCCTTCAAGGCCCCAGCAATTCCCAAGAGAATTGTTGTACGCTTCTGGCCACTTCTCCTCCTCCTTGCCACTTTCCCCTTGGCATTTCCTAATAGTTGTACGGGTCTTCCTATCTCTTTCCCCTTGGCATTTCCCCCATTGCCCTTGTTCGATCCTCCCCCTTTCCTGGCTTGTTTCTTATTCCAAGATCACTCAATGAATTAACCTTTCCCTTTCCCCCTTTCCCCCTTGACCCACTCTCCCCTGTCCACTCAACCTTCCACATGCTCTCTCACCCACTCTTCTCCGCTTCTATCCCCTATCCACCACATCCCTTCCAGCCTGTCCCCTCTATAGACTTCTCCAAGATCCACAGAGTGCGCTGGAAGAAGCTAGTGGAGACTACCAACCCTATAAGCGGCATGCCAGAACGAGCCACTATAGACGGGCTTCGTTATATGGACCCAGTAACGGAGATCCCTGTACAAGGCAGTAACGAGATCTGGCACATCATCAACCTCTCGGCCGACGCGCACCCTATTCACTTGCACTTGGTGCAATTCCGGGTCGTTTCACGCCGCGCTTTCGACGCCACGGCGTACCAGGCGAACAAGTGCTCCTTCACGAGCAAGAACCGTCCGTCGTGCTTTGTGGGACCGGAGATGAAGGCGCAGAAACACGAGATTGGGTGGAAAGACACGGTGCCTGCGCTGCCGGGTCAAGTGCTCACGTTCTGGGTCGGCTGGTACGGTCAGGTGAGCTCACAGCTGTCGGAAGCGAGGTGGAAGTTGGCAAGGGAGAGGATAAAGTGGGAAAGATTTCTGGGAATGTTGGTGGTGGTTGGGCTTCTACTGTTCCCAATCCCGCAATTGTCAGTCAGAGTGAGGCGCAACCCAAGTGTCACAACAAACACGTTGCTGTTGTATACCCTGTGTACACTCCAAACCTGGTCTGTCCACCCTCATGCTCCCTCCTCACTTGTGACATTAACACTTCTCCTGCATTTCCACCTTCATATCCAACCCCCCTTCCCTGCAATCACACAACAGGACGGCAAGCCATTTGAGTTTGACCCTACATCTGGCCCGGGCTACGTGTGGCATTGCCACATACTGGACCATGAGGATAACGACATGATGCGCCCTTTGAAGATACACAAGAAAAGTTCCGGGAACTTGTATTGATACGTATTACGAGAACCATAGCGCGTGTCTGCATGTGTCAGGTACTAACGCCTTGACAATAACAAAAGCAAAAGCAATGTAGTTCTTAGGTGTGCATTGTGCCGTTGTGTAGTATTGTATTTAAATATATGGTTAACCACAATTAGAATTCGACTGCCCACTCCAGCGTGTGGCAGCAACATTGCAATCTACACAAGAACGGATTAGTTAGCTCAGTTCGTCCCTAGCGGACCATCACGAAGTCAGATCCCATTGGTCAACTGCTGCCACTGATCCCATGAATAAGCATCCTAGCTACTAGCTCGTCGTACTTAGCTAATCAGCAATCCCGGTTAACTACACTACACGGTAAGAAGAGCCCCATGGTTACACAAAGCCGCGACTCGAGACGTTAGCTCGTTGCATGGTCGTTGATCAGCGAACATTTAACACGACACGATCATTCAGTGCGACCATTCGGCACAATCTTGAACGGCCGCATCATGTCGTTGTCCTCGTGATCCAGCATGTGGCAATGATACACATACCCAGGCCCGACAGACGCATCAAACTGAAGCGGCCTTCCGTTGTTATCCTTCCACCCAGCCCACAGTGTGAGCACCTGACCGGGATACGCAGGTGTCGTGTCCTTCCACCCCCTCTCGATCGGATCAACGGGGATTCTTCCGCTCGTCCAGCACGCGGGCTTCTTATCCGATTTGCGGAACGAGCACCTGCCAGCCTGGAAACCCGCCACGTCAAACGCGCGGCGGGCGATCGGACGGTGGTCAATCAAATGGATGTGGAACGGATGCGCGTCGGCCGAGAGGTTGATGATGTGCCAGATCTCGTTCGTGCCTTGCTTCGGGTAGTCCCTGACAGGGTCCATAAACCCTAAGTTGTCGATGGTGACGCGGATGGGGAGGTTCGTTTTTGGATCCATTTCTTCCACCAGGCGGTGCCATCGCACCCTCTGAACGTCCCTGAAGTCGATCCTAGGAACGTACTGCACAGGAATATCAAGGGGAGAAATGGAGAAGTTACTAAAGAGGGAGAGAAAAGGCGGTTCGTAGGAGCTAAAAACAAAGGAGGGGGACAGGCTAGAAAACAGGCACCCCGGCTTGTCGAATTCACTTACCGAAATTCGGTTGGGGATTTTAGGGGCGGGGAAACGTCCACGGTTGGTGATCACGATGCGCATGACAAGTCCGGTGTCGCGGTCAGCGGCAATACCGCCCGGGTAAGGCGCACGCGCGGTATTTTGGAGGATGACGTCTTTGCAAGACGACGGGAGGTTGGAGAAATCCACGAGAATATCATGGCGCGCACCGGGGGTGAGGAGCAGCGAATTCATGTACACGGGCTTCTCTTGGTAACCACCGTCGCTAGCGATCTACGAGGAAGGACGAACAAAAAAAGAATCATTAGCGACAGCGAAATTCGCCCTTCCAACATGGGAAACGAACTGATTGTGGTTACGGGTTGTTGAACGAAAAAATGTACCAATTTATCTTCGGAAAGTTGGAAGAATTGATACTTACCTCGATCATCTGAAGGACCTTGCCCGTGAGAGGGGGTACGAAGTTGGGATAATCGCCGCGCTGCGCGCAAACGAATTTCAGATCGTAGAAGCGCGCGTTCGACGCGCCCAGCACCTTGAAACGGTAAAGCGCCGGGCGAACCTTGAGGTACGGCCAGACCTGCGCAACGCGCGGACAGCGTTGAACACCACGAGGCAGCAGCAAATATTCGTCATGTCAGAAAGCTCTGGTTACTACGTTCCAGGCTATGCGAGTAGTACGAGCACTCAACTCTCGTTAAACTCACCACGCCGTTGACCATGTTGGTGTTGCCGAGGTACTCGGGAATCCAGTTGGGATGCACCTTCGGCACAATGCCCACGTTCGGATAATTGATCGACCCGTTGGCGAAAAACAGCCGATCTGCGATGGCGAGCGGGATCGTACGGCTGGGAGGAGGAAGCCAGGTGTACTTGGACTCGACCTTTGGGTCCGTGATGATGAACAGCCCCGCCATGCCCGCCGCCACGTTCAGCCGCGTCATGCCCGCCATGTGGTCGTGGTACCACACCGTCGACGCCTCGTCGTTCACGTACTTGTAGTTCTTGGAATAATAGGTGGGGCCTTTCTCGCCGTACTGCGTGAACCACGCGAGAGGGTGGCCGTCGTAGTAGCTCTGCTGAGAGCCGCCGTGGCGATGCGCGACTGCCATAAAAGGGGATTATACGTGTGGCGTGAAAGTGAGTGTAATGCTTGCTGGAGAGGACGGTCGGATTTGCAGAAATGAAGTGCCATAGGAGCGTTTTTGCCTATGGGAATGCCGCGCTTCGGAAACTTTTAACCCATGATGAGCGTGGGGTTGTTCAGTGAACATGTGCGTGTTGTTGAGCAGATGGTTGTGGTGACAAATGCGCTTACTACAGATCCGGGTGCCTTGATTGGGAAACTTGTACCCCATGACTCAAGGGGTGGGACGGTGAACATCATATGCGTGTTGTCTTTGAGGCGAATCGAAGCTAACGGAAGGAGAACCCTTTCAGTCATCATGAGATATTGCACTTACCGATGAGCATGCCCTTCTTGGGGAGTTTGAGTGTCATTTTGAGTTTGATGATCAAACTGTACGTACATAGTACGAGTGCTTATGACTTTGATTGAGTGTCTCGTACATCATTATGATGTTCATATATGAACATCATATGCCTATCTTGATTGTGCGATCGACGGTGTACATCAGAATGTGCGTGTTGCCGACCAGGGTACTGTTCGGGAGCCCCGAGTACAATGGGAAATGTGTTACGAAGCGCGCTCTTACCGATGGGAATGCCTTTCTTTGGGAGTTTGATGCCCATCATGACCGTGCGATCGACAGTGAACATGTGCGTGTTGTCGAGCAGATGGTTCTCCCACGTGACCGTCGTGTCGATGCCCACCTTGGCCACAATGGTGGGGCCGGGGTACGACGCCGTCTTCTGACTCGTGCCGTACGCGTACTGCTTCGTCGCCGGCAGATCGCGATGGAATTTCTGCGATGCGCACGACAGCGTCGAAGAGAGACATCACAGTGAGCCGAAGGGGCGCATCGTGCGTTCGCGTCAGATTCACGCTGGAATTTCTGCGACGTAGCGACGACGCGCGTCCGTCACGAGAACATTGAACAACCGGCGCCGCCTCAAATAGTCGATTTCAGATGGTTGACGCGCGACTTACCTGGTATATTTGGTATACGCCGATAGTGAGCCGCTTGGTGCCATCGAGAGTGGGGATGACACGCGAAGTCAGGCTGTCCACGAACTTGCACAGTGACCTTTTCGGAAAAGCATTTACGCATTTCGGGCCAGCAGTTGACATGAGGGTTATTTCTGCTCTAGCGGCGACATTGATGAGGCTGAAGACTACTAAGAGAACGTAAATCGATTGTCTGCGTTCGGCCATTGTGGCGTGTGTCGTGGAAGGATGCGCGGTAGGAGGTATACATTTTAGTCATTTCTTGTTCCAAGTCGAGTGACGGTGGGTGGGAGGGTGGTACGCACGATAAGTGCATTGCCAGCACATGCTGGGGCTTACACGCACTGTAGCCTCTTGACAGGTGACTGTGCTTGTACCTTGTGTTGTTGTTGGGTTGACGGAATTGGCATGGCAAAGCCTGCTAATTGAAGCGAGTCGCTTCGCTTCGAGCCTCCATTACGTGCCGGCGGCGAGGCGAGCCGTTCTTGCTATATCGAATTACAGGACTTGCAACGAATGAACGCACGTCATTGGTGCACGTGGGCGCCAAACACGTAAATCTGGCTTCCACGGGTCAGCAAACGTGCTTCGATTCCATACGCACAGTCCCACAAGTCATAGCGTTCTATTAATCGACGGGAACTTCAGTGTAGTATGGCACTCAAAAATGAGATGCGGCAAACATCAGGTGGTGGCCGCAATTATATCTTAGAGGCTTTCCACAAATGTATTGATACATCTCAAGACAGAAGGCACACCCTACCCTTTACTCAGAGTCACCCGATACCATACCAATGACCCTTGGGCGTCCCCAGAGCGTCCCCAGATACGCTCGCCCCAGACATGGAGTTGGAGGGCCATAGGCATTGTTTAGTATGGCTTATTACCTAAGGGAAAGGTTTCAGTCTCGACTGAGAGGAGCAAGCGGGCCTTGCTTCTCTAGCCAGCCTCGACCAGAGAGCGTGTTAGCACTTCACCCCCTGCCTCCATTGTCCCTACAGTCAACGCACAAAGCACGCCAGCACACCGTGCCAGTACCCGCCACAAAGGTCATTCAAGGTCGGCGCATCTACCCGGTTTAGAGGTGCCTAAAAAGTAGTCTCTTAACTCACACCACTGAGCCAGCAGTGTCAGCCACACAGCAGACCCATCCAAGGTGGGCACATACCCCGGCCCGGGTGACAATCACACGCATCAAAAACCTCAACGCATCAAAAACCTCAACGGGCAAATCACACAACTCTGCAGTGGTCACACAGGACAGCCCATCCAGGGTCGGCACGACCCGCTGTGACTTCTGAGGCGCCTCAAAAACCTTAACAAGCGAATCACACAACCCCAATCAGACCACCACGCCAGAGGTGTCCGCAACACAGGACAGCCCATCCAAGGTGGGCACATACCCCGGGTCACAATCACACGACACACTCCGCCCAACCCCAAACCAGCACGTGCCGTGCCCACCACACGGCGCCACGTCAGCGCCACAGAACGCCTGGCAAGTGGTGAGCGAAAGCTGGGTCTCGACCCTGGGCACGAGCGCGCATGCACTGGTGGCGGGATACTTGATGCAGTTGTATGCGAGGGACGACTGGTAGAAGATGCCGTTGCGGGTCTGGTCCTTGGGGCAGAAGGGAGAGCTGCCGGCGACGACGGTGGCAGGGCCGTTGAAGTAGTTGTGGTGAATGTTGATCTGCCCCGCGGTCACTATGGTGGCGTTGAAGAAGCCTGAAGGGAGTGGGCCCGAGAACTGGTTGTCGTGTAGGTTGCTGTGGTGGGGTTTACAGGGTGGGCAGGGAATGGGGGGAAACAAAGGAGGGAAGGGGGTTTGAAGTAGCTGTGGTGAATGTTGATCTGCCCCGCGGTTACTATCGTGGCGTTGAAGAAGCCGGACGGGAGAGGGCCTGAAAACTGGTTGTCGTGCAAGTTTCTGTGGTGGGGTTTGAAAAGTCGACAGGGGATGGGGGAAATAGTGGGTGGAAGGGGGGTAAATTTACGAAGGGCATGGGAAGACGTGGGAGAAGGTTAGGAAAATGAACAGGAAAGCAGAGCAGGAGCTTGTAGGGGGAAGGACGGAAGGTACTTATGGCAAGAAGAGCATGCCGGGTCGTGCTGCAGATTGAACAAAAGCGTGCGTGTTCTTCCGTCACGAGAATGAGTGAGGGAGGGAGGGCTTACAGCAGGTTGAGTTTGGGCAGAGTGAGAAGGCCAGCGGGGAAGCTGCCACGGAAGCGGTTGCCCTCCAGATACCTGGCGGTTGAGGTTGGGGTTCATTCATGGCGGTAGAGGTTTGCAGAGAGGTGGAGATGGAAACAAGACGAGAGAGACATGTGGCATGCGAGCATGAGCGAATGAACTAGGCCTGGTAACGAGAAGATGCCGTGGCATGTGAAGTGACAGTATATGATTCCAAGTGGGTTGAGGGTCGAGAGCAGGAATGAAGCAAACAGAATGCAAGGGCGTGGGGGTTGGACAGGTGGGCATTGAGACATGTAAGAAGTCGATTGACTCACAGCACAGAAAACCACCCACCCGGAACGAGTACCACAGCATTAGCTGGGTCATGCACATGAGCAAACACCCATTGCAGCAAGGACTTACAGCACAGTGAGCGCCTTGAGGTTGCTGATGCCCTGTGGGATGGAGCCCGTGAAGCGACAGTTGTCCATCAGACTGGCGTGAGGAAAGAGGGGGGATGGAAAACGGGGAGGGTGAAGGCAAAGGAGAGGGTGGGATGGGATGCAGCCTGTGACTTGAAAGTGGTCCAGCAGACTATTGGGAAGTGAGGGAAGTGTAAGCAAAAGAAAGAGAGGCAGCAAGGTGATCTGAGGGAAATCAAGAGTTGCTGAATAGGGAACGGGAGACAGGGATTGGGAAAAGGGGGTGGTGGAGGTGGGGAAAGTGGGACGATAAACCCTGAGTGAACTGGTATTAGTCAAGCAGACTGGGTGGATGAGGAGATGAGAGAAGGGTGAGGATGAACAAGAGAAGGGTGAGGTTGAACGAGAAGGGTGAGGTTGAACAAGAGAAGGGTGAGGTTGAACAAGAGAAGGGTGAGGTTGAACAAGAGAAAGGTGAGGTTGAACAAGAGAAGGGTGAGGTTGAACAATTGAAGGGTGAGGTTGAACAAGAGAAGGGTGAGGTTGAACATGTGAAGGGTGAGGTTGAACAAGAGAAGGGTGAGGTTGAACATGTGAGGGTGAACGACGGCATGATTAGTGCTTTGATAGAAGCGATGCAACGGTGGTGGCGAACAGCAGGTGAACGAGCAGGGCAGCATGCAGAAGGTATGGAGAGGAAGCAGTGGGAGCGAGACGGAGGCTTGTCAAGGCAGGTAGAGGCAGGGAACTGACATGCGGGAGAGGCGAGTGAGCTTGGTGATGGAATCAGGCATGGTGCCATTGAAGGCTGCAAACTCCATCACGCTGCCGCAGTGGAACGAAGGAGGGAAGAGTGGGGGGAAGGAGAGGGAGGGGGGCACAGGGAGGAGGGAAGGGGAGAGAGGAGGAGAGGCCAAATGATATCGTGAAAGCTTTGGCATGCAATAGCATGTTTCCTTCAGGAGAGGACGAAGTGCGGCGGGATGATGTAAGATAGGGGAAGAAACAAGAGGTTAAGGGCACAGAAGGCAAGATAAATGAAGTGGGGAAAATAGATCTGCATGTGCGTGATCTGTTAGCATTGGGATCAGTGGGCACTCACAAGCCCGTGAGGCTGACCATGTTGCCCAGGTCTGCATGTGCATCTTGAGAATTCTCAAGAACCAACCAACCAGGCACTGCATTGCACGGCAGGGCACTCACAAGTCCGTGAGGCTGACCATGTTGCCCAGGTCTGATGGCAGAGGGCCATCCAGGTAGGGGTTGCTGCTCATGAAGCTGATGGTTGGGAGGAAGAGGAGGGAGAACAGGTTTGCAGGAGGGAGACGAAGGTTGGAGGGACAGGGGAAGAGAGTAGATAGGGAGGAAGGAGGAGGAGAGGTGGGGAAAGCAGAAGGTAATGCTGGGCACGGGAAGAGATGGGATGGAAGGGGGAACGGGTGTGTGGGGGTGGTGGGGGGCGAGGCGGGGATGCACGACGTTTACGCATGGGGAGGGTCAGGTCTGGTGTTACGCATGGGGAGGGTCAGGTCTGGTGTTACGCATGGGGAGGGTCAGGTCTGGTGTTACGCATGGGGAGGGTCAGGTCTGGTGTTGCGAACGGGGTATGAGTGAGTGGATGAGATTGAAGCGGTTCAGAAGAAGAGCTGTTAACTAGACTGTAGCTTACAGGATGCGCAGGTTGGTGAGCTTGGTGATGGTGGGAGGCAGAGGGCCGTTGAGGCTGTTCTGATTGATGAACCTGGGAGCAGAGAGCAGGCGGAGATAGGGCGAGGTGAGAGGAGTAGGCTGTGGTGAGCATTAGCAGCAAGGACAAAAGCCAAGGGAGTGGTGGAGTGTTGGCATGAGCAGGACGGCAATAGGGAGGGCTCACAAGTTCTGCTCACAAGTTCTGCAGGGCAGGAAGGTCGCCGATGGTGGCAGGGAGAGTGCCGGTGAGCTTATTGGTGTCGATGTATCTGATGGTGTGAGAGGGAGGGGAAGGGAGAGAGAAGATGCATGCATTCATTGCTCCACAACGTGCGTACAGTGCAAAGATGTATGGATAGAGTTCCAAGAATAGTAGTGTATTATGTTTGGAGAGGGAGTGAATAGTAGAATGAAATAGTGCCAAATGGAGATTAAAGATCGCCGATGGAATGGAGGTACCTCGTGGTGCCTTGAAGAGCGATGGGGAGGGACACGATAAGATACAAGGGGATTTGAACGAAGCTTACAGATAGTAGAGGTAGGAGAGCTGGCTGAGGCAGGAGGGCACGGAGCCAGTGAAGTGGTTGTAGCTGAGGCGACTGGTGTGGCATGGCAAGGAGGGGAAGGGAAGGGAGGGGTGAAGGGAAGGAAGGGGTGAAGGGAAGGAAGGGGTGAAGGGAAGGAAGGGGTGAAGGGAAGGAAGGGGTGAAGGGAGGATGACGAGGGGTCAAATGCAGAAGAGGAAAGGTATTGGGTTGGCTGGGGCAGGAGGGCAGTGAACTGATTGTAGCTGAGGCGACTGGTGGGACAGGCGGGGAGAGGTAAAGGACAAGGTGCGCAGGGAGGAGAAGATGGAAACGCGAAAGAGGTCAGGCGTTGGGGCAGTGAGAAGTAACCCAGGGGTATTGTTACACATGCTGGTGATAACCATGTCATATGTGTCGCTGACTAGCAGTGGGCCACAGCAGACAGACACGGCCAGCGGTAGTAGTGTCTCACTAGGAGATCTCGGCACTTAGTGTCGCATGGCGCATGTTGAACTTTAGTGTGCCATACTTACATCTCCCTCATATTCTTCATGGTGCAGACGAGACGACTGTGGGTCATGAGACGATCTTTGAGGCGCCTAAAAAATACAGGTTCTGTGGGCCATACTTACAGCTCCCGCAGGTTCTTCATGGTGCACACAACGGTGGGGAAGGAGGAGTTGAGCAAGTTGCTGGACACATAGCTGTTGCAGGCGAATGGGAGAGAAACAAGACAAGACCAAGGAACCCATGCAAGGGAAAGGAAGAGTAGTCGGAGGAGAATATGACACAGCAGATATGACCAAGCTACGCACGGGACTTATGAGCGGATCAAAGCATGGCGAGGGCATCAAAGCAGACACTTTCAACCTGAAGCGCCCTTGACCCAGCGGTTTGACTCATCAAACAAACAGAAGCCGAGAACCAGATGAAGGATGAAGCTTGCCAGTCTCGCCACGGCCAAATGCGCTGTGCGTTGACCTTTTGTGTTTTGAGCCGACTCAAAACACGCTGTGCATTGACCTTTCAGCCTGGTCATAAAGTCACAACTTGGATGGGGTTCAGGCATGCTAGGAACGCACAATTTTTGCATGTTGGTCAGCTGCGAGAAGGTGTCGGGCAGCCCGCCGGAAAAGTAGTTGAGGTTGAGGTGCCTGCGGCAGGTACAGATGAGGGCAGAGCAGCACAGGGCAGGAGAAAGGAGGAAGCAGAGGCGGGAGGTTGGCTTGTTGAGAGAGAGGGTGGATGATAGGAAGGAGGCGAGGGCAGAGGTTGTCATAGTGAATGTTGAGGTATAGCATTGCTGAAGGGTCCTCACATGCCATGCCACAAGATGTTTTGTTACAGCATGGATGGGTTGGCATGCCACGGCATGGCACATCGCGACATGGCACGTTGCGGCATGGCACATTGCGGCATGGCACGTTGCGGCATGGCACGTCGCGGCATTGTGTGCTAGTGGAACGCGTGGTATGATATGGACATGGACAGGTATGGTAGTCCACATCGCATGGCATGAGATTGCATGGAATCGACCACCGTGTTACACGACAGCATGATGTGACGTTCAAAAGCGTGGCTCACAGCTGCACGAGGTTCTTCATGTTGCCCCATGAACTGGGGATGGGACCCTCAAAGTAGTTCTTGAACAGCTGCCTGCAGGTGGAAGGAGAGAAGGGGGAAGAGGGGAAGGGTGCGGGAGGGGTGTTGTGAGTGAGAGGGGACGGTGAGATGTGGGCATGTTGACCTATGAATCGAAAATGGGTGTCTCAAAATAGTTCTCAAACAGCTGCCTGCAACGCGATAAAAGTAGTGTTTTGAGATGTCTCAAAACACTGCTTTTATCGCGCATGTTGCTCCATGAATCGAAAATGGGTCTCTCAAATTAGTTCTTGAACTGCTGCCTGCAACGTGGAGATGAACCGAGCAGGACAGTGAGCCACGGAACGAACGAGAAAACGCACAGACGCGGGGATGAGACAACGGCTGGACAATGTAGGTGCATAGGAAAGGTAAGATAGGTGCATGTGTGTTGTCACGGGAGTACATGGGATGGGAAGGTATGTAGTACTTGAAGAGTACATGGGATGGGAAGGTATGTAGTACTTGAAGAGTACATGGGAAGGGTATGTAGTACATGGGAAGGGTATGTAGTACTTGGGAAGTACATGGGAAGGGTATGTAGTACTTGGGAAGTACATGGGAAGGGTATGTAGTACTTGGGAAGTACATGGGAAGGGTATGTAGTACTTGGGAAGTACATGGGAAGGGTATGTAGTACTTGGGAAGTACATGAGAAGGGTATGTAGTACTTGGGAAGTACATGGGAAGGGTATGTAGTACTTGAGAAGTACATGGGAAGGGTATGTAGTACTTGGGAAGTACATGGGAAGGGTATGTAGTACTTGGGAAGTACATGGGAAGGGTATGTGCGGACTGACAGGTTCCTGATGGCTGTGAGTCGACTGAACGAGTCGGGGAGGGATCCCTTAAACCAATTCGTGGTGGCAAAACTGGCATTGGCAAAAATAGAAGAGGGAGTGGGGGAAATGAAGGGAAAGAAGCTAGTGAGGCAAGAGGTAATAGGCGTAGATGTGCATATCCAAGGTCAGGAAACTGTATTTTGTCATACTTACCCCTCTTCCACACCTTGCCCATCCTCATCTTATCCCCAAAACTCCACCTCACTCTCAACACACCACTGCGTCTCCGTCTCCCATCCCATTCCCCCATCCCCCAGCCTCTCGCCTTTCCGTGCCCCTACTGTCACAAACAACTCATCGAGGCTGGTGAGGTTGCCGAGGACGGAGGGCAGGTTGCCCTGGATGGCTTTGGAGCTGATGTCCATGCGGCGCACGAGAGGAGAGAGCGTAGGGAAGGGCTCTGGAGGCAGGTAGGCACGCAGGCGGGCGGGCGGGCGGGCAGGCAGGCAGGCAGGGAGGCAGGCAGGCAGGGAGGCAGGCAGGCAGGGAGGCAGGGAGACAGGCAGGCATGGAGACTCACAACTCATCGAGGCTGGTGAGGTTGCCGATGACGGAGGGCAGGTTGCCCTGGATGGCCTTGGAGCTGATGTCCATGCGGCGCACGAGCCCGTTGGTCCAGCACGTGATGAGCCACCACGACGAGCACGGGTTCGTCGCCGTCCACGACGTGAGGTTGATGTACGGCGTCAGTGCCGCCTTCAGCTCCATCATCGCCGGCACTGACGGGGGAGGGACACGTGGAGGAAGCGGGGTGGTGTGGGGGAGGTGGGGTGGGAGGAGAGGATTGGGGAGCTGCCTTCACACGTCTCACGACGTGAAGTTAACGTACGGCGTCAGTGCTGCTTTCAGCTCCATCATCGCCGGCACTGAGGGGGAGGGACACGTGGAGGGAGCGGGGTGGGGGGGGGTGTTGGGAGGAGAGGTTTGGGGAGCTGCCTTCACACGTCTCACGACGTGAGGTTGATGTACGGCGTCAGTGCTGCCTTCAGCTCCATCATCGCCGGCACTTGGTGGGGAGGGACGGGCGGAGGGGCGCGGAGGGGGAAGGGGGGAAAGGGAAAGGAGGAAGGGGGGTGTGGGGGGGTAGGTGGGACGAGGAGATTGGGAAGCTGACTTCACACGCTTCACGGCATTGAGATTGATGAACGATCCGACGGCTGCCTTCAGCTCCATTATCGCGGGGACGCAATGAAGGAGAACTTTAGGAGAAATGCGGCTGAGCGGTGGTTCAGTCCACCTTCGACGAGCACCGCCGTTTCGATAACACCTCGGGACTACAGCTGGACGGTGGAACTCCAAACAGGTCTGAAGACGGCACAGTGTGATATCGGGATGTGGAAATGCGTGCAGACGACTCGACTGGCGACGAAATGTTGGAGCACATTGTGCTAGAATGTGACCGCAACGGGACGCTGATGGGATGCCGTGATGAGACGGGATGGTGCAATGGGACGCTCTGAGGGGGACGTGTGAAGTGACAGTGATGGGATTTTGCAATGTGACAGTGGGGAAGCGTTTCGAGAGGTAGCAGTTTCAGATGCTATGGGTGCTTACTCTGCGAAGGAGCTACGTAAATCACAGTCGTCTGAAGCTTGCGCGGGAGGGCAGCCGACGTCATGGAGGCTGACATCAATAGCGACAGGACTAGTAGAACGACAGACATAGCGGCTGCTTTCCCTGAATTCGGAAATACCAGGCTCATTGTGTTGATCAAGACGTGAGAAAGATTTCGTCCACGAGATTCTGGAATATGGCCGGCTGCTAATCCACGAGAATCCGGAATATGGCCGGCTGCTGAAGTACGCTCGAATATAACTCAAAATGAGTTTATTAGCGGAGACAACAGATAAGGCGGAGCATGCTTTTTTTTTTCGCAAATGAGTGACCCAACTGCATCTGATGTATGATTCGAGCTGCTACTGAGACTGCTTGGCCCTGCTGTTGAGAGTTGACCTATCTCAACCTGACTCAGAAGCAGTAAGCTGGGGAAAAGAAGGGTGGGGGAGAATGCGGGGACCGCGTCTTGGCTCTGCAGCAGCTGGGAGGGGGGGGGGGGGGGGGGGGGGGAGGAGAGGTACCGCAATGACTCCCAAATTCCAGTCCAAGAGAGACCAAGCCTGCAAGTGACAGGCGAGTGAGGATGAGAGAGGAGGGAAGGAGGCTGCCAGGATGGGGAAAGTGCTTGTTGTGAGGGAGGCAGGGCTAGAGCGGCTGTTTTTCCTTACACATTTGCAGTAGGGAAGGGAGGGAGCTTGACCCTGCTCTGCAGCTTGACCCTGCTGTGCGCGCTACTTACAGAACACACACCAGGTTGGTTTTGTCTGTAACGGGACACCCCTGAGCACCAGGTGAAAGCCTCCCATAGTAACGGACAGTTTTACGCGAGGTCGTGTACACGTAGATGCACGGGTGTATCCTGCTCCTTCTAAGATTAAAGTATATTAGAAAACTAAATGCAAGTCAGTACCAGCCAAAACTAGGAATTTCACATTTCGTTGTTGTAGGTAGTGTTTCCTGGAGCCAATGGTACTGTAATTGGGCTGCGTAACTCGGGTAGAGTGTTCGAGAAAGAACAAAATGTCCTGACTCCCGCCAGAAAGAGAAATGTGATAGCTTATTACGGTAAGCACTTCCTAAAAGCTCTGTGAGAAGGAACATCAACCGAATGCTCCACCACATTCGTCGCATTCGTAACTTAAATATCATATTCCGTTGAGGCGAAAGATACATCCTCACCGTATTTGTTGACTAGGGACTGATAGGCATCAGCCTGGCCTTCGTCGTAATCACCCATGGTGCCTGCACGTACAATGTAAGTCAATGTGAGTGCTCACGAATAAGTAAGAACGAGTGAGCAACTGGGAACGGGAGGAGAAGTATGAAGGAGAAGAGATCAGCACCTGGTTTCCACATGACGAAGATACTGGCTCCGACTTCTTTCTCCGCGTTCAAGAACCGAACAGTGTAGGTGGGAAAGTCACCGCGCATGGACTTTCCAGTGATCAGCTTCGCACCAGAAACCGAGCTCAACAGCAGGTGGAAGTCCACATTCTCCTCTGACTTGATGACATTGGCGTACTCGCCTTTGCCAGGAAGAGTGTGATAAAAAAGTCCATCTAGGGTTGTGACTGATTCGAGAACGCCTAATCCAGTGTTAACAATCAGCCGGACCTGCAGTGTTATGTGGGGATGTACTTATATTAGCGAAGGACAAAGTGGCAAATGTGTACGAACAAACACACGCACCGTCACTGGACACTTGCCCTGCCGACGTTCTTCAAATCGCCTAGAAATTCCTTCAAGTTGGCTGTCGCTCCTGTGTCTGCATCGGAAGTGTCAGTTGGGGCAGAAGCCCTGACAGCGACCAGCTTGGACTGACTTCTGACGGAAACTTTGGTTTTTTTTACCACTCCCATGAAGGGACTAGCGCTTAATCGATGAGACCGAGCGATAGAAACAGCAGCAGTCGGAACCACAGCCGCCCATGATACGGTGGAGGCAGTGAGCGCCATGTGTAGTGAGTGGCTGGGCAAAATGAGGTGCGCAACTGTGCCTGGAAAATGTGACCTAGGATGGCTGTATCGGTTGTCACAAATTGTGCCTACGCCTGTTGTGTCATGGCAGTCCTGTGGGCAGCAAGCTTCATCAGCACTCACGACCATCGCGAAAGTCGTGAATTCGTTTTCAGGGTAACAGCGTTGAAATGTTCGCCAAACACAGCACGGCGACAACATTCACAACAATTACGAACCAGCTTGCTCTGGGGAAGGAGGTTGGGGGATGGTTACCGCAAATTGGTTCGGATATCTCAAACCATCACTTTACCGAATCTACCTGGCAGAGCTACATTATCGCTAGCCTGCGTGGCCAGCGATCGAGCCTGCTGTCTTCTTCTCCCAAACCCGCCGTGGAAAAGTTAGCCACAAGATCATGCATACGTGGAGGGCATCTACTCAAAGTAGCTTCGCGTCCCCCTCCATGCCCCCAACACGTGACTGGTCAGTGTTGCCTCACCCTCCCTTCTGTGCCTCGACTCCCTCCCCTTCCTTTACTGACTCGTTCCAGAAGTCTCGGTTTCTTGGGAGCCCAGGAAACCACTTTCTGCTAGATCTGAGAGATCAGACTTCCAGGCAGGCATTGCAGAGTAGACTTTACGCACATCAGATTGCTGGCGTAATGGCTGCCATTGCTCAGTCTGCCATTTCTGGCGCGATTTGCGCTCCCGCAGTCGCGTCAGTTGAGGTGTCTGGCAGGACCAGCATTGTCTCCTTCAATGGCCTGAAGGCGACCTCACTCCGCCAGTCTGTGAAGGCATCCCTCTCGCAACGTGTGTCCTCTAAGCGCTCTTCCCGCGTTGTGTGCGAAGCCACCGGCACCGAAGGTTCGTTAATTAATTTTAAGGGCATTTGTACGGCTCGTTGATGCCCCCGTGTCGATTGGCTAATTTTGTTCTGTTTTCTTCGTCTGCAGTCGCGGGCCCCGTGACCGATGCGACGTTCAAGAACCTCGTTCTGGAGAGCAATGTCCCAGTCCTGATCGACTTCTGGGCTCCATGGTGCGGCCCTTGCAGAATGATTGCTCCTCTCATTGATGAGCTCGCGAAGGAGTATAACGGAAAGCTGAAGTGCTACAAGCTGAACACCGACGAGAGCCCCAACGTGGCCACAGAGTACGGAATCCGCAGCATTCCCACGGTGATGATCTTCAAAAAGGGGAAGAAGGTCGACACTGTGATTGGTGCTGTTCCTAAGTCCACCCTCACAGCCACCATTGATAAGTACTTGTAAGCTCGCGACCGTGAGGTTCTGCGACTTCTTTGTTCAGCTATGTGGATGTTAACCTGTGAAATTATTTTCAGTATCTAGCAAAGCCCACACCAATTGTCTGTGGGTGCACGTCCAGGGGTTGTCGTTTCAAAGCTCAAATCCATTGTAGGGTAAAGCTATCGCTTTTGGTACGCTGCTAGATCCATCTAGAGTCGTACCCATATAGAATTTTTGAAAGTTGCAATACTGTTCACAGCATGTACTGCATCAACAAGAGCTCTACTGCTATGTTTTACACATCCACTTAATCATTCAATAATGACCCTATCAAATACAACAAATGTAATAAATATGGATGATGAACTACAGCCAGTTTCTACACCAGCATTATCCATACAACCTCATCATGCCATGAGGAATAATTCCTTGCAGCATGAAAAAAAGGCATGCTAGCAGAGCAAAAACAAAAATAATTGCAAGCGGGAAAGATTTCAGCTTGAGAAACGAGGCACTGCGAGCGGTCATCCCATGCTAGGCGTCCGCCGGCTTCCCCTGCGACCATTTCCGGCAAATGATTTGAAGTGCTCAGCCAACTTCGGGGAGGGAGGCCTCCTTCCACTGGCGATCGACATTGCTGGCTCAGTGTAACTGCTGCTCCGAGCTGAAGTCACGATACCAGCCACAGGGGACGAGTAGAAGCTCCTCTCTGCATGGTTACTGCTCCCTTCAACGTATCTTGCGACGCTGGGGATGCCAAGTTGCGAGTTCGGCGAATAAGCGGGCGACAGTCGCACATTATCCGGAATCGTCGCGGAAGTCAGGTCCGCAAAGGAGTGGGAGCGGCCTCGCATGTTGGAACGCGGCTTGATACCCGCGAATTGCTCCGCAATGTTGGCTTTCGGCGCTCGAGGAGGTTGTCCGTATAGAATGGCGCTAGACGACAATCGCCTCTGATGGCGGGGATCCTTCGCGGTGAGTCCGTTAATTCCGCCGGAAAGTCGCTCGATTTGGTCGATTCGATCGACGCTGGTGATTCCCCGAGCGTACGAGCGCACCGCGGAAGACAGGCTTCCCTCAAAACCCGTCGCGATTGGCGTTGGAGACGCGGCGAAACGGAAGCTGACCTGCGGCGAGTCGAGCTGGGCCATTGGTGGTGAGGGGGAGAGACCGCCTCCGGTAGTTTGCGCGCTCGAAGTTGTCGGCGGGGGCGTCGGCGGAAGCATGAGGCCGAGAAGCAACCATTGCGCAGCATTCTCGTGGGAAGCGGGGGTGCTGTGGGACCTCGGGGGTAAGGATGGCATCTGCGGACTGGTGGCGCATTCGACGGACGTTGCTGATGGAAATAGCGCTCCGGTGGTGGTAGGAGCAGGAGGCATGAGTTTGGAGTAGCGCTGCACCGCGGATAAG